CCTGCACATAAACCTGCGAGCAACATAAGGCGCCTGACCGAAGTGCGAGTCACACCTAGTTGTTTGATCTTGTTTGTGTAATCGGTCGCTAACACATACCGAACGAATAGAGTTGGCTGTGGTCGACCTAGGCACCACACCAATCTTTTTAGGACATGATTGGCTACAGCGCCACAACCTCCTGATTGACTGGAACACCGGAACCATCACCCTAGCATGGTGTGACTGCTGAAAAATTCCATTCCGCCTACCTGATGAAGACCCAAACCAATGATGGGGAACTGAAGTCGAAGAAGGGGACAAAATCTTAGTAATAGATTTTGAACAAGCGTTCCATGTACGAGCCATGGGGACTAAATCCACCAACTTAGCCGCCCAAGCCCATTCTAATAAAAAGGAAAAAACTTTTAAAGAAATTGTACCCGAAGTCTACCAAGATTTCATAGATGTATTTGCCAAAGAAAACTTTGACGAATTACCACCACGAAAGCCATGGGACCATGCCATTGAGCTAGTACCCAATGCCAACGCCAGCTTAGATTGCAAGGTATACCCCTTGAATCCCCAAGAACAAAACGAACTCGACCACTTCCTAGACGAAAACTTGTCCACAGGAAGGATTCGACCATCAAAATCCCCCATGGCCTCGCCTTTCTTTTTTGTCAAAAAGAAAGATGGAAAATTGTGACCTGTCCAGGATTATCGCAAACTTAATGAGATGACCATTAAGAACTGATATCCCCTCCCACTCATATCCAAGCTAATGGACAGGTTGAAGGGCGCCAAGTACTACACAAAACTAGATGTAAGATGGGGATACAACAATGTTCGCATCAAAAAGGGGGACGAATGGAAAGCGGCCTTCCGTACCAATCGAGGCCTGTATGAACCCCTTGTCATGTTTTTTGGGCTCACGAATTCCCCCGCAACCTTCCAATGGATGATGAATGACCTTTTCAAAGACCTGATAGCACAGGGATTGGTCAGCATCTACCTGGACGATATACTCATCGCCACCAAAACCAAAGCAGAACACCGAATCGTAGTTCGGAAGGTCCTGCAAATACTTCGAACCAACAAACTCTTCTTAAAGGCTGAGAAATGCGAGTTCGAAGTAAAGGAAACCGAATACCTAGGAGTGATCGTCAGTGAAGGATCCATTAAAATGGACCCTGTCAAAATTGCAGGAATCCTGGACTGGCCGACACCCACCAAGAAACAGGAATTACAATCCTTTTTGGGGTTCGCCAATTTTTACTGCCGATTCATTTGGCACTATAGTCACCATGTCAAACCCCTAACCCGACTTACTGGGAAAGAAGCATGGACATGGGGGAAGGCGCAACAAGATGCCTTTGAAACCATTAAACGACAATTTTTAGAAAATGTTGTTCTCGCCATTCCCAGTAACGAAGGGAAATTCCGAGTAGAGGCAGATGCCAGCGAAGGCGCCATGGGTGCCGTACTATCCCAGGAACAGGCCGATGGAAAATGGAGACCCGTTGCATTCCTTTCAAAATCACTTTCCACCACAGAACGAAATTATGAAATCTACAATAAGGAATTGCTAGCCATCATGATTGCCCTGGAAGACTGGCGCCACTATCTCATGGGTGCCATACAAAAATTCAAAATTTGGACAGACCACTCCAATCTCCAATATTTCCGAAAACCCCAGAAGTTAAATCGTTGACAAGCTCGATGGGTTATCGAACTCGCAGAATACAAATTCACCCTTCATCACAAACCTGGTACTGCAAATAAAAAGGCGGATTTACTCAGCCGAAGGGCAGACCATGATCAGGGCAAAAAGGATAATGATGATATCGTCATCCTTAAACCTGAACTCTTCAGGGCCTTAATAATGCCCACAGAAGAGGCAATCCACCAAAAAATAGCTAAGGCCACCGACAAAATCCACCTGTGGGATAAGGGAGTCTCTGACTCTCTCAACTATGAGAAAGGAGTTCAACAGAAGGGGAACCTTCTATTCTACGATGGAAGAATTTATATCCCGAAAGATGTCCCACTACGAGGGGAAATAATTTCCTACACCCACAACCATATAACAGCGGGACACCCAGGAATCGCGAAGACCCAAGAATTAATACTTCGCAACTACTGGTGGCCTAAAATGCATCGGGACGTGGAGAGATACATGAAGGGGTGCGAAGTCTGTCAAAAAACTAAACCTGACCATCGCAAACGCACCGCCCCCCTTCACTCTAATGCAATACCCACATGACCATGGGAACACATATCAGTCGACCTAATTACAGGACTACCTGAATCCAAAGGCTACAATGCAGTCCTAGTAATCGTCGACTGATTTTCCAAATACAATATCTTCGTACCATGTACGAAGGAAATTGCCTCTACTGGATGGGCTAAAATCCTCCGAGACGAAGTTATTTGTCGGTTTGGAATTACTCCCTCAAAGATAATCTCAGACCGAGGTCCACAATTTGTGTCCAAATATACCAAAGAACTATACACCCTGTTAAACATCCAGGGCAATCCTTCCACCGCATACCACCCTCAAACAGATGGACAGACTGAACGAGTTAACCAGGAGCTTGAAAAGTACCTGCGTAACTTCAAACAAGATGATTGGAGTGACTGGCTGCTCATCGCAGCCTATGCCCTCAACAATCGAAAACACAGCACGACAGGATACTCCCCATATAAAGTCCTATTTGGACAGAATGGACAGATACGACCTGTCGCACTCAAAGCCACAGCCACCCCTTCAGTAGCCACAATGGTGGAAACACTTCACCAAACCCACGAACAGGTGAAACTTGCTTTGACAAAAGCAGCAGAAACAATGAAACAAGCGTATGATCGACACCAACAACTGCCCCGAGAATACCAACCAGGAGATAAAGTTTGGTTAGACATCACCAACTTACACCTGCCACGACCAGCTAAGAAGCTGGACAACAAATGAGTGGGACCCTTCGAAATAATAGCCAAAAAAGGGTCATCAGCATATGAACTTCGACTACCGGTCAGATGGAAGATCCATAACCGGTTTAACGAAGTCTATCTGACTCCATACTCCCCACCAGAGTTCCCGAGCCAAGGACAACCGGGACCTCCTCCTCCAGAATTAATTGAAGGACAAGAAGAGTATGAAATAGAAGAACTCCTACAAGACAGGGAAATAGCCATACAACAAGGAAAACGGAGAAAACACATTACCGAATACCTTGTCAAATGGAAGGGATACCCAATCAAAGAAGCCACCTGGGTACCGCACAGCCAACTAGCCAATGCAGAAGAACTAGTGCTCAAATACAAGCAACACTTGGCAGTTATATACAAAGAAGAAAATGATGACAATGAATCCATCGCAACATCAGCGACCGAGAATTCAATTTTCTTCCTGGATTCCCTGGGTCCAGCTTGCACAACCACATTCCAACGATCATTATCGCCTCTATCCAACATCGAATTGGAAGACGAGTCTGACACTGACTCAGTCGGGACGACCGAGTCTTAGTTGGGGGGTAATGTCATGAATCACCCCTATTTTTTGCTTATCTTATCTTATCTCATCAACTCGTCACTCGACTCTCATCATCATTCCTCGTACCTGATCCGCATCATTCATGACCCGATCAATCCCATGCATGATCCATCACTCACACGCATGATCCGTTTGATGGCCCATAGACCGATCACACTCTATGGGCTGGATCTTTCTTCACCCAGTCATGCTTCTTTAGGTTGTCTGTGATCACACCCTAGGATGGACAAGCCGCCACGTATGCTCCTAAGAAGACCGTGCCCTATGGACACTAGTCTTCTTACTCGCAAGAGGGCTTCTCCTATATCAAGTACCATATGATACAGAGGACATAGAAGACAGCGCTGCATTGGGACAGCACGCACCGAGACACAGGAGCGGTACATACTAGTAAATACCACACTGTATTTAAACGAGCCTTGCTGTGGTCTTACACCCCAGCTTCAGCTAAAGTTATACACTCCTAACTTTTCATGCAGAAACTCCCTGTTTCGTGCCTAAGGACTATCATACCTTACTTAGCGATTGCAACACCCTCTTCACAACTGAATCACCGAATGTGAGTGACAGTTTAGAGGCAACTGTTGTACAATCCAAGCTAGTGCGTAGGGATGTGCACCGTACCGTTACGGATACGGCCGTACCCCTGACGGATGGATACAGATACAGATGGACCATGTCCGTACTGTAGGAGCAAGAAAAGCGATGTTTACGGTACGTACAGGTATATGTACGGACGTAACAGCCGTATTACGGTCGTAGAATACACTCAAAAGACCTGCATGCTCTCCGCAGCATAATACTAATAGTCATTGTCGTCTCCATGTAGAGAAAAGATGTACTATAAAAACAGTCAGTTTCGAAGTCTTTCAGGGAATCAAAGAGACTTACACATCTTGTGTTCATGAATCGCGTGGGCAAAGTCATTTTGGTGGTCTGTATCGTAAGAGTGGCAGTGAGTGTGGACAACAATGGGAACCTAAGCAAGGAATGAGTGAGGTATGCACATCTAATACTCCGGAGTTTGTTGCATCGTGCCAGGGGATACGGTACTGGTTTGATTTGTAAAAAAACAAATTGACGACGGGAACTTGCACATTGCTGAGACAAATGCAAATTGTCATAGAGAGAGGGGGACTACGCATGGCTCATTGGAGTAGGTTGGTCAGGTAATTGGCGTACCTTGTACCAGGTTGAATTATTTAAGTTGAAACACTCGACAGATTACCGTGGCAAGCAATTTTCAGATGAGAAAGCGGAAAGGGAGTACCAAAAGTGGCTTCGGTTTGATATCAGTTGCAGCTGCTGTATACGGCCATAACGGCTTGTCCCGTACGGTTGTTATGGGTACTCACCATACCGTGAACCGTACGGTACCTTGCAGTCTCGCACTCGCAACGGTACAGACCCGTATCCGTGTGTGCCATATGTATCCACCGTATTACGGATACGGTGCACATCCCTACTAGTGCGTTACAGAAGGAACAAAACTGGAAATGGAAATGGAGGGCAAAGACTTGGGATGATCATGTGTCAAGTTGAAAAATATTGAGGCTCATGACAACGAGGAATAAGGAGACGAAGTGATGTGTAGAAAATTCGGTGGAGGAGGTGAGAAGTTATATTGTGGTGGTGGTTGTGTCCTAAGTGTATGGGTACAACCAGGCCTCAGGCATCATGTCGTATATTGGATTCAAATGACCCTGGTATTTGGACGGCGGGGTGCCCATTCATCATGTTGCAGCCTGGCTGATGAGCATAGGTGTTGTTAGTGAAATTGTCCTGGTAGTGGACAAAAGAATCGTCTGAGATATAAGCTTGGATCTGAGTGATATCCGGTTGAATACCGACTGAGATGCTACTTCCTGAGGGGGAAGAAACTGGTGTGGGAATGAAGGGGATACCAGTGTTCCTCGCATCGTGGGAAGAGTTGAATGCATAGGAACTGATATAAGGTGAGGACATATGTGTTGGAGTGACTGGGATAAGGTTTTGTTCAGAAGTGTTGGAAGAAAAGAACCCGGATCTTGGCATGAAAGGACCATTGTTGATCGTGTTTACACCAGAAGGGCCATCACTGTCCATGAAATCCAAAATATTCCATGGTTCCGCAGAATGGTATGGATTATTGGTAGCGATGTGGTCGCAAAGTTGGGCTTCACATGTGCAACGCTGCGCCAGAGGTGTCTGTAAGTGGGATTACATCAGTTCTAGATGCTGCGAGGACCTTAGAAGCTGAACATGCCTTTTGCACATAGGCAGTACATTGAGTTGCAAGACAATGATGGACAACCATTGAGACGTAGTCGACATGCATGTGAATGCCATGTCCACACCGGCAACAGATGTACTGGGATAATGTGAGCGTGGGACCATTAGAGAAGAGCAAGAGCCTACCGGATCTAATAGAGTTGACACAAATGACGGACACTGGCATTGCTGGATGTTGTCAGAGACCAGTCTGCACTGTCCTCGGGATGGAAAGACTACTGAAGACATCGGATTCTGAGTGCTGGCGTTCAGGGAGAAATATGACAATGTGATGAAAATTCGAGTTCATGGCAGAGTATCTTAAGTACAAACAAGGGTATTTTTCCAAGTATCCCTTTCCGCTGTTCCTGGCACGAAGCTGTAGTATAATCAAACTTTAACACTTATTTTTATGATGACCATGTGAAGGGGGCTGTTGAACTGTGATAGTTTGATTGAAATCCAGTGAAGCTGTATTGCAATAATAGTCTCAAAGTGCCAGTAGTGCCTATCATAATAGTATTTGCTGTATAGTAACATTTAGAGTGGAGATCTACGGTGATGCATAACATGTAACACCCTTGTAAATACCTCGAGATATCCAGGAACGGAAATTTGACCTACATATTTAAAAACGCAATGAATATCACGATAAAAGTTTTACCTTCATGGAACAATCGAATGAATGTGTCATTGATTGTACAGTGACCAAAATCGGGGCAGGAAGCGGCACCATTGCCTTTAAGCTCCCATCGTTGGGTATTTGAAACTAGCCGGCCTCCGCAGTGCTTTGCAAACCCAATACTCAATGTCGGAGTACCCGATCAATACCGGGTTTCTTTGGCCGTCCGTATACTTATGCTGTACATTGAAAATCCATGTGAAGCCTTTCGAAAGGTAAACACTTCCTGGGTCCCTGTAAAAAGTATCTTGAGCGTCTCTAAGAAAGATTGTTATCAACCCACTTGCCACGGCATCCCTGGCATGTCAACTTGCCCAAGTTCAGCGTTCACTGTTTGTAGCCAGAACAGCTTCATCAGTACCGCATCCACCTTCTTTACTCTGTACTCGCGGCTGATCATCTTTTTCATCAGGACACTATCAACAGTCTATCTTGTCAGCTGATCATCGGTTTCATCTAGACGCTATCAACAATCTATCTTGAGGGACAACAGCATGAAAACATCACATTGCGAGTCACAGAGAACATGGCTTACAGCATTCTCTACGGTCTCTACACACTGTTCTCTCCAAAGTGACTTCAACTTCGTCACTGCCCCCACAGCAGCTTCAGATAAGGCCACCTTCGTATAGGCTCCCGTTCACAGAGGCATTTTATGAAGCGCACAGCTTTGACAATGCCCTATTCCACAGATACACGCTCTTTACCTCTCGTTGCGTTATGTCACAGTACCCCTGGCTTGACGCCCGCGAAATTCCCTTCCCTTCCCATCCGCCCGGGAGATGCCCCCGAGTTCTCCTACTGAAGGACGTAGCCCCTCTTGGCACAGTACCGACAATCCATCGGCCTCAATCTGCCCTTGGGCGTCCACCAGCGAACCAACTCATACGGCAGTCAAACAGACGCTCATGCCAGCCGTTAAAACAACCCTTCCTTGTACAAAATCCACCAGTAGGAACCGGCAGCTCGAAACTAATCCACGGCTCACTGGATATGCCGGACTTGAAACATGTGGATCGATCTATCAATGGCCGCTCAACCCAATCGAGGGGATGTTCTAGGTCGTTTATTCCCATGCCGTAAGGAAGATCAGCGGTCACTTTCCCTATCGCTTTGATTATTTTGTGTGATTTATTACAGTGCAAAGTTGTAAGCCAAGGTTTCTGTGACTGGGCAAATGCATTCATTGTCGATATTTCCTCCCGACCAACTGTGGGTAGCGCACAGTCGGAAATAGCACCGTTGAAGATAAATGGACTGGATCAGTATCTAGAAACTAAGATTGAGAAACATTGGCGCAAGAGAAGAATGAAAACTGACCAGTATATCAGACGTATCGTCTTTCATATGCTCCCGTTCTGGTGAGATCCAGAAAGGAAGTGCTGGATTCTGAATAGAAATCGGTGATGACTAGAATTGCCGGCAGATGGGTCGAAGTAAGGAAATGGTCTGGATGGAAGGATAGATGGCAGTAGCATAGACTAACGATGATAGGCGTGCATGGAGAATGGTATCATGTGCATGTCCCCCATCCTGATTAAAGGCTCGCAGTTATGCGAGTTCAGCGTGCAATCTGTCCGTGGTCCTAGCTCTACCACTCTCCATGCCATCTTGCTACAGATTCCTTTGACGGTTTTCTTGCCAAAGCAAAGCCTTCTGTATCTCGAGGCATGGTCGTCACGGCTCAAGGAAGGAATTATCGTAGGCTAGTATCACATCGCAACATAAACAACCATTATTCACTGAATATGAGGGTGCGCAGCATGACCATTGAGTTCGTATTTCTCTCTACAGTCAGTCATCTCTAATCTGGAGAGCCGGAAGGTTTATGTCGAAACGATGGGAAGTAGAGATTTTCAAGATAGATCTGAGTAGAAAACACATGTTCGACAGTTGCCAACAATACCGTGGTGGGTGAAGGCGAAGAACCCTGGGGGTGCTTGGTGGAAAGGTTCCTCCTTGGGAAGGGGATCATGTTCTTGGCGCTCTTCGGCATAGAGTGGTTACTTCGAGGATAAGTTTCCTACCTCTCCAACGAATAAGAAGTTCCCAGGACGCTCTGGAAAACCGTCAACGCGGGCACAGACAAATTTCTCTCATGCAGTGAGAGTGGGGGGATTACTGCCGTTATGCCTTGGACAACGCAGAGGCGAGGACCAGAATCGCCGATGTCGAGGATTTGGGGGTAGCTGACCGGGACTGGTCATGGCGTCGCTATAGCGATTTCGGGTTATCAAGGGGGAACGACTAGCCGAGATCTAGGAATATGTAAGATTAGAATGATACTGATTTTTTGTGTACAGAGCACGGAAGCCTGACCTAGTCTCACTAATCTTTTAGGTCCCTTCCGCGTCATCTGCAACCGTTCTTGGGTAAAACTGGTAACTTTGTACAGGTATCCTTGTCGACGACGTAGGACCTGGGAGAATTCTGGCTGGTTTCTTCTCCACAAACCTGCCCCAAGGTTTTCCTTCCAACCGAAGTTTAAGCGGTCGCCATGGTTCGTGTTTTGGTCTTGACGCGCTTGAGATCAGCTGTAAACGTTCGAAAATTTAGCTGGATGAGCCACGACGCATGAATACAGTTATCGCACCTCGAAGCATACGTCGAAAAACACATTCCAAGTCTGACACCCTTTCTTTCAAGCTCATCGGTATCATCGCCATTCCCAAACCCTTTAGGGTCGCCCGCATTATACTGCCTCTCAGTTAGCAGGGAGAGCTGAGATGCAGAGAGTCATCCCATATTGATATCGACCTCGGTTTTGAGATTTTGAGATCGAAAGAGACAGAGCTACGGATAGGTCATGGTGGTCAACAAAGGGATTCCGGACTATTCCGGACCGGTAACTCGTGGCTCGCGACCCTGCAACCTGGCTTTCCGGTTGACGCGCACGATCTCCAACGACCTCAGTATCGCTTTGAAGGGAACAGACACTGTCGACACCAGCATATAGCGGACATACACTGACCGGAAGGACGTCATAAATGCGGTCGGTAGGTTACGTTTTCTGTGATTGCCGCACTAACGATGGCTAAAAGCTACATAAACTACAGGATTCTCTCGAGCTCGGACAGCCTGCGCCATAGTTGCGCGACTGGGATACCCGCCCTGCCATTCCAAGGAAAATTTCACCCATAACGCAGACCGAGCTTATGTGCCTTGTATCGACTTCACCTACGCGAGATATCCCTCAACGACACCAGTAACGCTCCGAGCTGACGACTGTTAACGCATCTCAGATTTTCTGACCACTATCACACATCTACACTTGTGTACCATCCGCATTCCGAAAGCCTAGCTCTCGCAATCAGTGCCGAAGCGCTGACCGGGACCACCCATGCCCGGAGGCTGATGGCTATTTTTTACAGCTTGTCTCTGATGACTTCGATGGCAGAATCCGTCTGCTTTGGTTTTTTCAAGCTATCCATCGGCGCTCATCCAAGCAATGGTCTTCGATCTCATTGGTGTCGGTTCAGCACTTTGACTCTGCCCCAGCAGCGCCCTATACTACGTTTCCGAACCACCTCTCGTGAACTTTTCACTATGCAATTAGGGTGGTGACGACCGCCTCCTTTCTCTTCGCCTCCAGCCAACCCTTTCCTATCCTTTGCACTCGTCCTACACCTCGCTGTCTGCTATACAGGGCGGCGAAGGCGACAACATCTCCTTCCCTTTGTAGCAGCCCAATTGTCATTTCAATTGTAAACATCTCTTCCCGGTTTCGCGTTCACGAATCCCTCCCTGGCATCCTGTTGAATCAATTCCCGCCCGCAAATCAAGCAAACTACGAATATCGGATTGGGAAAAAGGAAGGAGGGAAAGCGCTGGTTACCTGAATGGGACGGCGGGGGAGGGGATCAACAACGAGAGTCAAGCGGGACAAGTTGTTATATGAGATCGCTGACCCGCTTGCCTGCCACCACACAGTTGTCGACAATGCGATGTTGTTCTATCGTAGTCCTTAGGTAAGAAAAACCTCGATTCTGCGTATTTTCCCTCTCATGAAGTTTCCATCAGGATTTGACCGGGTTTTCGTGTGATAGAGGCTGAAAAGGTGGAGCGGGGGCTTCGAGGTTAGCATACCCAGCTCCTCCGAAAGATACATCTAGCGACTGCCCAAGCTACTTGAAGCGATTTCCGCCTCGTAGCAAGAATATTTTAAGATATATGTGGTCTTGAACGCGTTTATTCAAATAATAAAATGCATATGATTTCAGAGCAGAGCAAAACGATAAACATGACAGACGGGTACCCTAAGCAGAAGAAAGACGAGACGATGTCCAAAATGTACATACATGTTGTGTTTACAGGCGTTTCCATGACGCGGTAATTTATACACTGAACGATGAAGGAAGCAGAGATGAACGATAAAATTGTTTCACGGATCCTTACTCAAGTTGACCTGCCCAGGATCCCGTGCCATGCACCTCGTTGTAAGATATAGTCAAATAATCCTCGCGAAATCTCGCGCTCGGGTCCTGCACGTTAACGCTGGAGGTACCGTCCCGGTATTGAGCACCGTAAGAGCCCCCCACTTCCGAGTTCGAATGAGTGTCAAGCTGAGTGATAACAGGCAGCGGGGTAGGTGCGATGACTGCGTTGCCGTAGGGGTAGCATGGATTAGCATTAGTGGAGGGAGACGGCCTAAGCATTGGAGTGAATGGGATGCTCGTCGGGTCGCCGTTGAATGTGTTGACATTGGAAGGGATGCCATTGTCATAGACGGATACATCCGCCCCATAGGGAAGAGGCGTAGGCGAATCGCGATACACGTTCACGACAGGTATATGATCGATGAGAGATGCCGAGCATGTGCATGCTTGTATCCGGGCCGTCTACAGTAAGATGCGTGAATGTCATTTCAGACACCACGACTGGAGAATATATTGTACCTTAGGAAAATACGCAGCACAATTCATCGCAGGGCAGTGATGCACTACCATTGAAACGTAGTCGACGTGCGCTTGAATACCATGTCCACACACACCACAGATGTTCTGGGAGAATGTGAGCACAGGAGTATTGGTGAAGGTGGATGAGGCCTACCTTGTCTAGCGGGGGCGACTCGGAAGGGAAGAACCATGGACACTGACAGCGCTGGCTGTCAATGACTTGGATGCACTTCCCTCTCAACGGCAAGACAATAGAGGACATTCAGTTTCAGGGTGAGGCGCTGAGTGCAGCACTGGCAGGAGAGGGGCTGGGGCTTGCCATGGGCCATTTTTAAGAGTTGCAGTAGCGGACGTAACGGTGTGTGACACGCTCGCCACGCTCGCGCGCGCGTCTTCCCCAATTGATTTCGAAGGCCGAGTGTCCAGAATCGGAAATGACCGGTTTTGACAATCGGATGGCTCCCCAAGTCTCCAGCTCTCTGGAAGAATACTGGACATGTCTGCACGATCCAACCCACATCCGTATCCTCACTGAGTATCATCGACCGTCTACTGGCAGGAGGCCCGTGACGATGCCTAGTGATGGAGGAGAAATGAGCCGGTATAGGCTCGACAGCAGACGCGGATCGTTGTGTGCAGTGGATACAGCAACACGACAGAGGCGATGAAGGGAGCAACGGGGTCGCCTACCTAGACCCCATGCCCGACCCCATTGTTGCTCTCTGGCGGGCACCAGCGTCACCTGCAACGGGAATACACCGACGATGATCGTCGTCTCTTCTGGCCATCGTCTTCCTACCTGCTAGCCAATCCTATCCTATCCACACCTCGTTCTCTACTCGGCCTGTCCCGCCATTGTACATGTCGTGAATCGAACTGCTCCTTTCCAGGATCTGTTTCCAACTGGGGCCCTCAGATTCTTCAACTACCCTCTCTGTGAGTTCAATTCGGCTGTTGGCAACGAAGGTCCTCATCTCTTTCTATCAGACCTTTTCCCTCCATCTCCTCGTGCTGTCCTTCATCGATCTGCATGAAGGATCCTCTGGGTCTCTGTCCTCACTGGAGCCTGCCTCTCACGCCGTAAATAGTCTGCGCAACTCCTCGAGTTACCAAGTCCAACACACCCCGTCGATGTTGCGATATCATCTTCCTTAGAATCTCCTCATCATTCGCTACGGATAGGATCGTCGCTCGGACCAGGAGACACATTGCAGACTCGAATGTTTGCTTGGAACGGGATACTACCCATGTTCTCTGCCTGGACAACACATATCGACCGGGGACTCCCACGAGCTAGACGGCATCGCCTGTGGGTCCTTCCAATTCTTTCTCTCTCGTTCTCGTTACGAGGAGGATGGCATTATCCTTTCCTTACATTCACCGTCGCTGCCTATTGTCTCATCCTATTCTCGGGTTCTTTCTCATCCAAGCCCGCTTTTACGAGGCCCGTCTCTTCTGTAGTGGTCTGATGCACCCATTTCTCATCCACCGCTCATGTGTTCCCGCGAACTCATATCATACCTAGCCCTGTGCCATTTCAGCATCATCCCTTCCTCTGCCCAATCGTTTGTTGCTCTTCCCTCGTCAAAGAAAATCTTACATTTTTACCGCATCTTTTCTAACTACGATTACATTCATCAGACTGATCTCCTTATCCGCCGAATTGATCTATATCCCGCCAAGATGTATGATGCGGTATCCACCCCGCCGCTTGGTCCTTCATTGACATCATCTCCGCTCACCAACGAATTTACAAGGACTGTGGACACCAACTTCATTCAATGTCGACGTCATTCAGAATTCTTCTTTCATGGGTTTGCCTTTGCAGGTGCTACCTAAACAAAGAGCGTTGCGACGGAGGGGGGCGCTAGTAGAGTGGACGCGGTGATTGAAGGATAAAAAGCTGGCTAGATGTCTGCTCAAGCGATCCTTATCCCTCAATGGATATTACCCCGTCGTCTATATTCATCTCTTGGTTCAGCCCATGGACCCTCCAGCGTTGAACGTGTTCGTTCCGGTTTTCTTTCACTGCTGTCTTTCTGTGCTGCATCGCGATCATCACCACCTCACAACTCCAAAGTTCATACCATCACATTCTCCCTACAATGCAATATCTTATCGAGATCGAAGAGGTTTTTGAGTCCGGGTACCAGTGCTGCCGTTTTGAAAATGAAATCTTGCTGACTCGGAGATGCAGGCCAGATGCGGGGGAGGAGCAAGCTGCAACAGCGCTGAGTTGAAGAATAAAGGTTGAGTAGGTGATGCTCGAACAAAGCGGGATACAGCATTTGGAGAGATCAAACTTCAGGCGCGAATTTTCACGCCCGCCAATACAGGTCCCTATCGGTCCGGAGTTCACTTCCTTTTCAGACCTCGACCCCGTCCTGACACAGCCTTCATCGATCATCGATCCCGGATCGGATTCCTTCCAGACGCAACACGATCACATGATTCGCAGCCTATTATTCAGTGCAATCTTTGGCGCGAGGAACAAATTGCACTAGTATAAGACTTGCTCGACCTGCCGCAAACAGGCCATTGAAGTACTCGGCATGCTGTTAAAGCACGTGAGGATGACAAACATTCTTTCTTCAAACTTCCCGCGCTGTCTTACCACCGCAAGGGATCATCTACATCATAGCGCCAAATATAATGACGCCTACGGCTATGCCCTTAGCACACCGAGGTCTGCCAATTATGGTTGGTGGTGACGACGAATATGTTGAAGGATGGGGAGAGCGCTAGCGGCTACCGTCCGATCCCAGACTTTTTCGTTGCTTTCTACGCACCAGGTTCCTGTATCATGGGGATACGTCGAGAATGATCGCTGATTCTTCCAGTCGTCGTCTACCCGCCAGTCCATATCTCTTTCATTCAGTGCTGTCGCCGGTATGGGATCATGTTTCTTGATTTCTGCCCCCTGACTTGTATTGCTGCAATCGGACCACCAACCACCATCCTTACCGCTTATCGATGGTGTTCTTCCTCCCCGAGAAGGCCCGTGTCATTGGAATGTAGGATACAGGAGATGAGAAGGTGACGTCCCGCCAATACGGTCTGCATTTTAGCGATGACTGACCAGTATTTTTCAGATTGAAACTATGACGATGCCCACACAGCCACGCCTCGGTCGAAGCTTCATGAATACCTTTCTCGAATTTATTCCACTCGTCTTCAAGCTATCTAAATGTCTCTCATTGCCGTTCCTAGGCCCTCATCTCAGGCTGATTCTGTAAGGGATTGATGGTCGTAAACACGTCACTGCATACCTGGTTTCAATTGCTACGATTCCGTATCATCTTCGGCTCCGTTAATCCTCGAAACGGATCTTCCAGTGCCTTTTCCCATCTATTGTCTTGCTCTAGGATCACGGTATCACACGCTCTAGGCTGTTATCTCGGCGCTTGCTGGCTATCACTCCGATTCTCCGTGTATCAACATTGCGCATCCTTCAAACTTGGGGTCGATGCATTTATGGTGATTCGGCGGAATCGTACAAATGACAACCGAACGCAAGTCAGAAAGAGGAAACTTTTCCCAACATTGCCTTCCCCGCCTAGTACGACCCAATTCTGGCGACGCACAACAGTCGGAGTCATACCAGTTCAACTTCGGGAATTGTTGATTCATACTTATACGCGAGGTTCCCTAACTGTTGGTTTAACACCTGGACTATGCAATTACCGACCTTTCGTGTACACTAAGGCGAGTATCGGTCATTATCTCCATGTGTATCAGGGTTTCCTTATGATAAGCGCTTGCAGTTGCTTATTCAGAATAAAGCGCTTAAAAATCTGACAGCACATACCTGAATTCAAAAGCAGATACAAGGGATACAAAACGGTACACATCGACCAGCGACGACATTGATATTCAAAATATTATAAATATATCTGATGAATGTAACGCAGAAGCAAACGACAAGAGATGAAGATAACGGTTGGACAGGCAGTTATAGATATAAAATTCAGCGGCGATATCGCAGTACGTCGTACAGAGCTGGAAAACTAACAGGTTGCATAATGGGAATTTTTGATAGCTAGGCGCTGTAAGGTCCTACCCATGCTTCTGCTCCAGGTGTCGCAGGGTAAAGGGTATTCGGATCGTAATCAGAATTTCCGTTTGGCACGTCGCCATCTTGCATATCATGTCCCACAAGCTGATGAGTGGCAAATATGTCAGTTTCTGGCTGAATGATACGCGAGGGAGCATTGATGTCTGGTGAGAAAATCATAGGAATGGAGGTGACTGGATTCGCGTCGTTTAAAGAGCTGGGCGCATCGATAGTGTAGGTCGGGGATCCGATGCTCTGGTCGCCATCCACGACGGATCCTCGGTTGTACGAGACAGCCGCAGGTGAACGATACGCGTTAACGACAGGGACATGATCAAAAAGAAGCGCCGAACATGTACATTCCTGTGTCTTGGGCGTCTAGATTGAAATGTTCCCATCAGCAATACTCCAGATACGAGGGGCGGAGAGAGGAACCTTCTGAACGTAGGCCACACAGTGGGTGGGACGACAATTGTGAACAATGAGGGAGACGTAGTCGGCATGGGCGTGAATGCCATGGCCGCACATGCAGCGGGACTGGCAGTGGGAGGTTCAATGTGAGATGGTATACGGGATAATACTGGACTAAGGTTTCTGTACCTGATCTAGAGTAAGCCAGTGCGATGGATCTCGATGAGGAGTGAAACGTAAACACAGACAGAAGACGTTGTCTGTGTGCTCAGTGCATTGTCCCCTAATCGCTGTAAAAGACATTGGAGATGAGCTGCTAGGTACAGCAAGCGAGAAAGGCGATGGAGGTTGGGCTGCATCTTGATGGCTTTTATAGCCGGAGCCTGCGAGTAGGAAGAAGAGAGAAATATCTCAACTACGCCGCGTTGCGTCCTCTCCGGACCCTACTCTCAGGGACATCAACCAGAATAAATCCGTTATTTAAATTAATAATTTATAAGTAGAACAGTATAAAGAGAGGCCCCACCTGCCCTCAAGGCCGCAAGCTTCAATGCCTCAAGGCTTCAAGACGTGGATACTGAGTACTGAGTACTCACGTAACACGTTTCGTCCTTCCGTTCATTGTCACCATTTGCTGCTCTATCGCTCTACGTCTTTCTCATCTTAGGTCCCATCCTGCTCCAAGTCTCCTCACTGCCATCCATCGATGTCCCTAGAACCGAGAGCTCTATGTCGACCCATTTCTGCATGAAAATCGCATTTTTCATGACGACTCCTTGTTGAACACACTTTCAAGGGCTTTCATCAGACGTAGTAGGTTAGATGGCCTTGGATTTTCTTTTTGATCTGAATATCTATTCTCCAGGAAGATATTCGGTATTTTTGCTCGCCGACTAAGCGCTACTCACCCTCTATAGGACATTTCGGTAATCGACACCTCTTCGTGGCAAACGTTTTTATCTTGGTTCGAGACTCCCACGACATTACGATGGAAGAAGTCCGCCACGAGAATCCACAGGGAGGCTCATGAATGGTGCTCGCAGAGCGGGAACGGGAAAAGCCATAGCGGATCGCACACTGCGATTCTTTGTTCGAGATGGGAGGAGAGTATGCGCTTTGACTCAATTCTCCACGCGATGCCCGTTGTTCATCCACGTCGCTGCCGCCTACCGTTCTATCAAGTATCTTTTCTTGCTTCGAGCCATCCACTGGCTACCCTGGTTACCACCAATCTTTATGGAGGTTATATGAAAGACGGATGTATGAAGTTTTCATAGATGTCAGTTTTCATTATTTCTTGTCCATTTGTCATTTACCTTCGACAGTGCTACTCCCGATTGAGCGCTACCCATACATCGTCAGGGATGAACTCTTGACAATGAATGCATTCGTCGAATCGTGGAGACCATGACTCGTGCCTCATCGCAAGGTATATTCCTAGACGAGGCTTCCCCGTCATACGTTTGCATTTCCCCCCTCGCCTACGTGCGGCAAGAAGGCGTGTTTCCTTCCTCAAGGAATTCCGTCTATCCCACCACAGTTTCTGGTGTAGGCAACCTCCCGACTCACCGTTAGCCCAATTCTCGCGACCTCGAGTGTCTGAACTCCATCTTTCCCCCGGAATTCTCATCGTTGGCTACGGTGGACCAAATAATACCACCGTCGCTTATGGACAGTGATTGAGGAGTTCTCGATATTGGTAGGGACGCTTGGAGCAAGATGCCATCCGTATCTCCGCCTGGACCACAGCAATTCGACGGATTCGTCTTCCCATGGGCCAGGCGGCATCGCCTACCGTCTTTCAGATCCTTTCTCCATATTCTGGACCCTGTGCGATCCCGACCAACGCGCCGCATTATCATCCGAAGCCATTCCTCGGCGCCTTGATTGTCTCTTCTCAGCAACCTTCTCACTCTGCATAGGTTGATCCCTAGCTTATCCGCCGTATTCTTCTGACCCTCGCCAATGTGGTCCAAAAGCTCAATGGATTTTCAGGATGGTGATCATCTCGATTCTTTCAATGTTAATTCGGCACTCCTGCATACCTTCCACTGCTAGGCTTGAGATTCATGCGCACACGTCAGGGTGGGTCTGAAGGATTGCAAAATCAGGGTAACGCATGCGAAGATACTGGCTGAAGGCATTCCCTCCTCATAGCTAACATCAACCACGGGGAGAGTAGTCCTGGAGGCACACGGGGATATCGAAGAGATGACGATGAGAGCGAAGCGGGATACCGGTGGAGCCATGGCTACTGGCTTCTGCTACGAGATCATTGACCCGCTCATCTGGTGGGGATGGTGTCGCTCATCTATCTACAAGACACGCACTTCTGTCGTGGTCCCTAGGTAAGAACAGGAGCTATTCTGTGTATCCTTGCTCTCATTTAAACTTCCATCAAGATTTGAGCCCTGAGGCTTTTGTTCGACTGGGGTTCGAAAGACGGAATGAGGACCTAGAAGGAACTATGCACCCAGCGATCATTCAGACCACTTGGCTCATGACAAGAATCTTTTAGGACATATGACGTGTCGAACGTGTTTATTCATCGCTTTAAATAATAAAACACATATGATTTCATAGCAAAGCAAAGCAAAACGACGAATATAACAGACGGGTACCCTAAGCAGCAGAAAACGAGACGATATCAAAATGTACATACATGTTGTGTTTACAGGCGTTTCCATGACGCGTTAATTTATACACTGAACGATGAAGGAAGTAGAGATGAATGATAAAATTGTTTCGCGGATACTTACTCAAGTTGACCTGCCCAGGATCCCGTGCCATGTACCTCGTTGTAGGATATAGTCAAATAATCCTCGCGAAATTCCCCGCCTGGGTCCTGGACGTTAATGCGAGAGTTATCGTCCTGATACTGAGCGATGTAGGAATTTTCCACTTCCGAGAGGGAATGAGCGTCGATCTGAGTGATGCCCATTTGAATAACAGGTCGCGGAGTAGGTGTGAAGATCACCGTGTCGCCGTAAGAGTAGGATGGGTTGGCGTTAATGGAAGGAGAGGTCATGGGTATCGGAGTGTATGAATCGTTCGTCGTGTCGCCGGTGAATATGTTGACATTAGAAGGGAGGCCGTTGTCATGGATAGATATACCCACTCCGTAGGGCAGTGGCGTGGCTGAACGATACACATTCACGACAGGTATATGATCGATGAGAGATGCCGAGCATGTGCATGCTTGTACCCGGGCCGTCTGTGATGAGATGTAAGTATACTATTTCAGATTCCACGGCTAGAGAGTATATTGTGCCTTCGAAAAGTACGCAGCGCAATTCATCGCAGGGCAATGATGGACAAGCATTGAAACATAGTCGGCGTGGGCGTGGATACCATGTCCGCAACGAGCACAGATGTTCTGGGAGAACGTGAGCACGAGAATACGCATGAAAGTGGATGAGAGCCTACCTGATCTAGCAGGGGCGACTCGGGAGGTAAGAACCATAGACACTGGCAGTGCTGGATGCTGTCAATGACATGGATGCACTTTCCTTTCGACGGCAAGATGATTGAAGACATCGAGACTGAAATGCTGAGTACAGCACTTGCAGGAGAGAGGGCGATAGAGATTGGGGTATGTCATGGCGCGTAGTTTTTATAGAGTTATTATTGAACTGTGTTGCACCCGTGATTTAGCGCGTTCCATGGGAAGAAATCGCCGATTGTGGCGTAAGAAGAGAAGCGAGTGTAAGGTCTAGAGGTCAGGGTGATGGTGATGATGATGGTCTATTTTGGTAACCCGCAACACGTGGGCGAAGACGTGGGGGTACGCTAAAACTATTTAGGGCTATACCACTACTCGTTGATATGCTATTCTACTTTGCAGCTCTATGGAAGGTATAACTCTCGTGTGTAATTCTATGTGTCTTTTTTGTGGTGCTACATTACTGATGTCTCTAGAGGTCAGGGAATCCTTGTCTACCCGCCCAATATCCGCCAGCCGATTCATGCTCTTCTTGCATCCTGTTCTGCTCACGTCCTGCTGCTGTCGAAGCTCCATGAAATCCCGTCCGAGTCGTTTCTTTCCAAGATTGGTTCCAAATTTACTCAAGTGCTCCGACCCTTTGGTCTGCCTACTCTGTAAGTTCAACTCAGCTGTTGGCAACGACAGACCTCATCTGTCTCTATAAGGCTTTTCTTTCGGATGAGACTACCTGTCACGTTTTCATCGATGTGTGATGTGGCACGAGACTTACGAAGAAGGCTCCTCTCTCCCCTCACTGGCGCCTGCCTCTCGCAATGTACGATCTATGCAACCGATTGTCCCGCCACTATGTGTGCCCACCTGCAACCCATCAAAACCTCGCACGTTGGAGTACCATCTTCTCCGGGACGTCCTCACCAACTATAGAGGGCCAGATATTGCCGTTGTCATTCATGGGCATTGCGTAGACTCGGATATCGAAGGAGGGATGCTTGAATCATTGCAATGTTGGGTATAGGATACGAAAAGGTGACGTCCTGCCGATATAGTCGGCATTCCAGGGGCTAACTGACTGGCATTTGTTAGATTGAAACTATGACGCCGCCCAGACGGCATTCAGCGCTTGAAGCTTTATGGATACCTTTCCAGGATTGATGCTAATACCAGTGTTCCGAGTCTTTGGTCCGTAGGTCCAAATGATCTATTGGTCGCTCAGGACGCCCCATTCCACCACGCTGGAGCACAGACTCTGACGGTCACGTTCACGTACACTGGGCAGATGGAGTATTTGAAAGTGGGGGAGGTTGCTACAGGGAGGCGGGAATGCTTGACGCAGAGATGAGCAAAGAACATCGATATCTTGGCCCATGTTGCGCCGCCTAGCTGCCTCTTCACCGTTTTCCTACTCTGAGAATACGTTGAGGGTGCTCCTGGTCTAGCGTTGTCGTTAACCCGTCGGCTGAGCGCGATCCTATTCCCGCCCTGCCACGATTCATCCATTTTCAGGTTATCTCCCATCGTCGCGACTACAATAGATGACTCCATCCCCGAATCCAGTCCTAGCGACTTATTCAACGAGTTTCTCTTCACACTTCGAATCTTCTTCCCGGCGTATTTTGTTCAGATTCACAGAAGGCTCCATTCTATGCATTCTTACTCTCCTAAAACTTCTATCAGGTTCTGAACTCCGAGGATTTCCGTTCGACTGAGGTTACATCACCCTCCATTATCACCAAGCGCCTGTTCACGAGGAACAGTCCCCTCACTGTTATATCCGTTTCCACTTCTTCTGTAACTGGCACCCTAGACCCGATCTTGTCGTTACTTTCTGCTCTAGCAGGCCTATACCACGGTACCGGCACCGTCGTATCATTGAAATATCCTGGAGACCATCCACCAACCCAGTTAAACCTTTTCCGCACCTTATTCGTCAGTGCTGTCGCCAGCTACAGGCCTACGTCGCCTGGTTTCTAGCCTCCGAATTACGTCGCTGCTATTGATGGCTGATGACGAAACACAGCCTCTACCGTTATCGATGGTGTCCGTATCCCCTAGAACATCGACTTGACGAAGCCCTGGTCACTACCCTCTACAACCCATTTTACCTCTCCGGGTACATGACATTCTGTTACCCTATCCCGTATACCTTCTCTAGGCTTGTTTCGCCGCAAACTCTGTATCCTCCTTCCCATGACATTGCCTTTATTCATCGCATGCTTATCTCCGATGTTCTAATTGCCGTGGCTCGAACCTGATCGGAATACTCGGATCCGGGACCACGTGAGATAACGCGCTCTTCAATGGGAACGGCCAAAGACGCGTATGATACACCAAAGAGCTTGAAGAAAGGACGGATTTACGTATGGAACTTTGAGTGGTAGGCGACTTGTTATCAAATTTGTTCTCTGCTAAGACTAGACCGTCGCGTCTCTTTTTTCAGATTGTGGAATGGATCGTATGATACACACGTCCATATTCCTTGCCTTTACGTGCTCTCTTTCTGTCCTCGTAGGGCTGAATTCAGCTGCTAGTGCGGTATTTATGAAGAGGAAACCGTTCCCGACTCTTGCGAGATTCAAGGCGGCGTGCTGGAACGAAGATTATGTGGTCCGTATATCTTTACCAGTGGGCTTGTTATTAATGGTCTATCCCAGGTTCGTGAATACACCTGTCGGTGATGTTTGATCTAATGTTAATTCAATTCAACGATAGAGACGGATGTACAACGAGCTAGAGCGTAATAGATATGGGACATAGGCCAAAAAAAAAAAGATAGTGATATAGAGCTGATGACAGACACAAAGAGAAGATGAAACGTAGCACAACGGAAACGACATCGGGACTGGTAAATATGAAACCCAAGACATTAAAGGTCGTGACGATTGGTGAGAGAAGATCCGAGTGGGGAGGAAACAAACAAACAGCGAAACGCATATACTAATCGATCGCCAGAAATATAAATAGGATCGAGAATCGATGGCATAGAAATTGAAAGCATAGCAACAATGAGGGATGGAAGAAATGATCGCGACAACGTGGGAGAGGAAAGGGAAAGACACGAGTTATGATGTCTTTGCCATGGATCAAGCTAAGCGCCATGTGAGCCTGACCAGGATTCAGGGGAGGAAGCGTACACCAGATTCCCGTAATCCTGGTATCCGAAATTCTCATTCGTTGTGCTGCTCTCTGACTGACGACCATAGGGTGAGTTAGCGAGATGGTTCGGATACTAAGCAAAGTAGTCATCTGAGTTATAGCCTCCCGGGGTCTGGGTGGTATCGAGGTGAATAGTGGATGAGGTGCTGGTGGCATAAGAAGAATAAATGGGTTCAGGAATTAAGGGAGTGCTCCTTGCGTCGCCAAAAGAAATGGTGTCGTTGTAATCGGTGGAAGGAAAGGACGTGGTGTTCAGGGCGAATGAACTGTTGGCATCATCGGAATAATCGCTCGCGATGGCACTAGGAGAAGGGGAATCACTGTCTGGATTGAAATAGTCCAAAACAGTCCATGGCTCCGGGAAACGATATGAGTTATTGATAGTGATGTGCTCGCAAAACCGGACTCCACAGGTGCAACGTTGTTCCATCGACGTCTACAGTGAGAGTCTCGTGAGTTCCGAATACCGTGAGGAGTAGAGATCAGCATACTTGCTGGACGAACGCGGCACATTGATTCATGGGATAGTGATGGACGACCGTCGAAACATAGTCTGTATGTGCGTGGATACCATGTCCACACTCGCAGGTGTTCTGGGAGAACGTGAGCACGGGTGAAAGTGAATGAGCATTGAATATTGAGAGTCCACCTGATCTAGCAGTACCGAATTAGGAGGGAAGAACCATTGACATTGACAATACTGGATGTTGTCAATGACCTGGATGCACTTTCCTCTAGACGGCAAGACAATTGAAGACATCGAAAGTGAGGTGATGCCCCAGCAGGGCAGAAGGCGATAGAGCTTTGGGTATGTCTCGGTGCATTTTAAGGTCGAAGCAGCTGTTAGCAAAAGTCAAATGGGGAAGATCTCATCGAGATCTGGGCTTTGAGATCCAGTGGGCCCTGTGAGAAAGCATCAACTTGTGTCAGGTCGGCTCTAGTAGAGTACAGTCTGGTACAGCACCCGTTAATTACTTTAAGGGGACAGCGGATTATAATCAAAAACTTATGTAATTTTGCAACCCAAGTCGACCAATAACAGCTGTTTCACCAATCCTGAACTCTGTTGTCCCCGCCTATCCTCTTGGACGACCTCTACCTCTACATCCAGTCTTAAGCGCTATGTCAAGACCGTACGTTGACCGGCAGGACGCCCGATGCAGGACAGCTACCTGACGGTCACGATGAGGAGAAGCATTGATGCAGATGGCTGATGATCGATGAGGGTCCTACGGGGCCACCTGCCTCTACTCCATCCTCGACCAAATCGTCGCTCCCTAGTGCGCCAGCGCCATCTCAAGATCTCATATGCCGACCATGATTGTTCTCTTCCGGTCATGCGAGTCTCCAACCCGTTGGTCTGCCCACGTTGTAAGTTCGACCCAGCTGTTAGCAACGATGGACCTCATTGTTTTATATCAGGCCTTCAGCTATATGTTCGTGTCGTACTTCTTCTGTGCACGGTGCCAGCCCTCCAACAAGGCTCCTCTCTCTCTCCCTACCAATGCCCACCTCTCGTCATGCAACCCTCCCGCGTACCACCATGTGTCATCAAGACCTCACACATTGGAATACCGTCTTTTCCCGGGACGCTCTCACAAAAGTTATGGAATGCCAGATCCTGCTGTCGTCGCTCATGGACGATGCATTACATAGGCTTGAATGTTAGAGGGAGGATGCTCAAATCGAGATACTGTCTCTATCTCTGCCTGGATCACACATTTCGAAATTCAATAGGCCAGGCTTCATCACTTACGCGTCCCTCCAGCCATTTCTCCCCCACACGCGTTACAGGGAGGATGTTCTTGTCCCTTCCCTATCCTCGCTAGCTTACCGTCGCCGCTACCTACCGTCCCATCACGTTCTATTATTTCTCGTCCGGGATCTTGCTTCAAGTCATTTCACAATAGGCCCTCAATCACCCTGTATAGCACGCCTTTGATATCAGCGATCCCCAGAATAAAGAGGATGGCGCACGGAAGCTATGAAATTCGTCCGCTTAATTTTACCAGGAACCAAGTCTTTTGTCTACCTACATGAGCTTCTCGCGTTGTCAAGCACTCGCTATTACACGAATTCACCAAACTTAGAACTGGACCTTCCATTTCCCGGTCAAAGGCATAGACATAGGCGCATGTTCACCCCGTGGACCATCCACCTTCGCTGGATAAGAGTACAAATCAAGGATACGTTTCTGACTCTGCCAGCATTCAGCCCTCCAAGGAAATTCCCCCAAATGCGCCTTTCACCGACAGCGCTCTACACGCCTATGCTCCAGCCACCAGCCACCTTTTGGTGGATGAACCTTCGGGATCCATCTGTCGTACAACGACCACTCGCGCTGAAATGAACTGGCCCATACGATATGCACGCCATGCATGAGAACAATGTGCCTTGGTTCTATGTCGCTCACCCGCTTCTGCTGCGGCCCACCAGGTGTTATCATTCGGGTCGCGGTGGTCCCGCTTTTTCGAAGGTCACTGGCGATCCAACTCGAAGTCACTTCCCTTACTGCCCCCATCGCCATCTTGATGTAACAGCATCTCCTACATATTCCGGCGAGGTATGTTTGATGTTTGTTGCTGTGTTTTTCTGACTGATCGGTTACTCCAAGACACCGTGAATTGTGTATATGATCGTTTAATGTCTGTCCCTCGTCGAGCACTATTATGCAACGTTCAGGAAGTCAGTGCTTAACCCTTGCACCGAATTCGACAAACGGCGACCACGATGGAAGTCAAAGTAGTTGTTCAAGGACGCGAGCAGGTTTCTGTGGGTAGTCAGGGAAGAACGTCAAGTCTGTTTCCGATGTCCCACCCGAATATCGCGCTTTAAGATCAGGTCTCCATATTTTATCACCGAATCTTCGATGAATTTCATCTGCTCTTCTACCTCCATAAACCGTGGTGCCGCCTACGCTGTGAACTGCCAGTGCAGGCATCCTGAACCTCGTCCTGACACAGCCTTGATCGCCGGGTCATCGATCCCGATTCCCCACATGCACAACACGATCATATGATGCTCAGTCTGGTGCCAAGTTTGCTGCGGCGCAACTTTCGACGTGAGGAACAAACGGCACAGATTTGTGATAGCTCAACTTAAGCAAGGGAGATTCCTTTCCCAGCTCTTGGACGCGTCTCGCGAATGGTTTTCCAAACCTGCGTGTCAAACGACGCTGGACCTCTTCGTGCTATCTAGTTGTCCAGTATTTTCATCAAGCGTAAGTTTAAGACAGACAGATTTGTCTGTGAGGATCTTCATATGTCGGAACTTCAAGTAGTGTTGGCTCGATCGTATGTATATCTTATCAAATCTGTTGCCTGTGCAAGCTTCTTATCTTCCTCTTTGAATCCATTTTCACATGTTCATCCTCGAATTCAACCTCACCTCGACATGTTGGATATTCCTCTGTCGTCTGGCGAATGCTCATGCAGCAATTCCAGTTAGGCTGAAAGAAAGAGTAGAACGATGGTCATTAATAACAAAGGTCCAAGTTCATTTGATGAGACGTATATGATCTTACGGGCACTGGCGACAAATGCGGGGGAGGGCTTTGGTAGAATAAACGCGAAGGTTGAAGACCAAGATGCTAGACATATGTCTGCTCAGGTTGTTCATATTCTCGATAGATGTTGTCCCTGCCATGTTAATCCAGCTCTCGGTTCTTCCGTGTGACTCACCAATGACAGAAGTGCCGTTTACACCGTTTTCCCGATCGTACTGGGATGGCGGCTGCAAGGCCAAGCGTTTGATCCTTTCAAACTCAATAATACTCATTGAGTACAACAGCTTCACCGGGTAAGCTTACAGCACCACACAGCCTCGAGTATACCGCGTCCAAACAGCTTCATGTGAGCTCTACCTCGGCACCATTACAGCCTTTTCGGAAAAGGTTGCCAGTTGCATCTGGATCTCTGAAAATAAAAAGAAATGGTAACGATACTTGTAGGAGAGCTTTTTCTGCATACCACACTTTTCTTCGGCCCAGTATCCGAATGAAAACAGCATAAATCTGAACCTGCATAAAAAATGTATTGGATTGCGCTATGGGTATTGACCCGGAACTTACCAGAAGGTTGGATGGATGCCGTTTTTGGAAGTATTGCAATTTTTCATGCAAAGACTTCGGACATCACAGTCAAAGTGAAGTCTCCTTCATAACCTTTATTTACAAGCCAGAACACCTTCATATTGAACTTGCTCACAGGCATTTCATGCATTTGAATATGGTATTACCATTGTGGGATTTTATTTTATTTCCGGTGATCAAAAAAGTGCCTTGTAACCAAAGTAACCAAGCACTCTCTCTAACAAGAACATCGAGGACCGATTCAGATCCAAGTGCCTGACAACCTTTTCCAAAATCGTGTAATCGAGGTAACCGACTGAGGTTTCATCACCTTCCATTACCACCAAGCGCCTGTTCACGGCAACGCAACGAACATTCCCCTCACTGCTACATCCGTTTCCTCTTCTTCTGCAACTGGCACCTTAGACTCCATTCCGGCAGATCTTATCGTTACTTTCTGCACTCCAGCAGGCCCATGCCACGGTACCGGCACCATCGTATCATTGGAATATTCTGGAGACCATCTAAAACCTTTCCCGTGCCTCATTCGTTTAGTGCTGTCGCCAGCTACGGACCTACGTCGCCTGGCTTCTATCTGGATTACGTCGCTGCTATTGGTGACTGATGACAAAACACAGCCTCTAGTATCGTTATCGATGGTGTCTGTATTCCCGGAACATCGACCGACGAAGCACAGGTTACTATCGATTCCTCCTACGGCTGACCCATTTTACCTTTGGTGCATGCCATTCTGTTACCATCGTGTATACCATCTGTAGGCTTGTTCGCCGTCAACTCTGAGCCATCTTTCCCAACGACATTGCCCTTTATTCATCGCATGCTTATCTCTGATGCTCTAATTATATTAATTTTGTCTAATTGCAGCTGATCGGAATATCGGATCTGGGACCACATGAGATAACGCGCTCTTCAATGGGAATTGGTCGAAGACGCGTATGATATGCCAAAAAGGTTGAAGAAAGGACTGATTTACGTATGGAACTTCGAGTGGTGGCGACATCTGCTCTCTGCTGCTATTCAAGTATGTGTGAACACACCTGTCGGTAATGTTGGATCTAATGTTAGTAATTCAATTTCAGATATACAACGAGCTAACGCGTAATAGATATATCACAGACCAAAGAAAAAAAAATAGCGAGATAGAACCAATGACAAACACAAAGAGGATAAAATGAAACGTAGCTCGACGGAAACGTCGTCAAAACTGAAACTCGGGACGTTGAAAGTTGGGGTCCTGCACTGCAGTGACGATTGTGAGATTGTGAGAGAAGATCCGGGCGGGAAGAAAAGAAACAGGAAGCGGAGTGCATATAATTGATCACCAGCAAAAAAAAGAATTAATGTCATAGAAATAGAAAGCACAGCAATAATGAGGGATAGACGAAATGATCACGACATCGTGAGGGAGGAAAGGGAGAAGACACGAACTACGGTGTCTTTGCCATGGATCAAGCGCCGTGTGAGCCTGACCAGGATTCAGGGGAGGAAGCGTACATCGGATTCCCGTAATCCTGGTATTCGAAACTCCCGTTCGTTGCATTACCCTCGGGCAGACCAGCATAAGGTGAGCTAATGAAATGGTCTGGATACTGAGTAAAGCGGCCGTCTGAGCTATAGCTTCCCGTGTTCTGGGTGGTATCCGGTTGAAAAGCGGATGAGGTGCTACTGGAAGGAGAGGAAACAGGTGTGGGAGTAAAGGGAATGGCGGTGTTAGCGCCGTTGGAGTAGTAGCTGCTCGTGGTAGCACTGAGAGAAGGGCTGTTATTGCGCTGACCGAACAAGTCCAAAACAGTCCATGGCTCCGGGAAACGATATGAGTTATAAATAGCAACGTGCTCGCAAAACTGCGCTTCACAGGTGCAACGTTGTGTCAGAGGCGTCTAGTGAAGTGAAAACCTCGTGAGTTCCGGATGCTGCACAGAGTGGAGAGGAGCACACCTTTTGGACGTACGCGGTGAATTGATTCGCGGGATAATGATTGACGACCGTCGAAACATAGTCTACGTGCACGTGAATACCGTGTCCACAGAGTCCGCAGATGTTCTGGGACAACTAGTCTGACCGCGGTTCGGTGCAGAACCTCGTGAACCCGGTTCGAACCTGAACCGCACCTTCAGGTTCAGGTGCGGTGCAGGTTCAGGTTCGCTGTAGCTACGTGGGTGCAGGTTCGAGGTTCGAACAAGGCCAGATGGGTGCACCCGAACCTGAACCCCGAACCACTATACATTTTTAACTGCTCTTATTAGGACTTTTATACATATCTTTGAGATGCCTTTCTGTACTATTTATCATTTAGGTCTATTTCTGGTGCATCTTTTCTACTTTGCACCTCCTTTGGCCACGTTTGCGATGGAATTGAGTCATGGTTAGCGTTGGTGATGTCATACTCATTGATGAGTTCACTCATATCTGGCCTTAAATGACATTTATTGGGTGATATACTATAAGTTGAATAAATATACAGTATAATAGACATTGCTAGAACTATCCCGCCCTGCTGTACAGCATCCAGCCTCGACTTTCTGTCTGCTGCTGCATCGGGAGGTGCAAACCCGGTGCACCTTGAACCGCACCTGAACCCGCGGGTTCGGTCACATGATCACACCGAACTGAACCTGCACCTGAGGTTCAGGTTCGAGGTTCAGGCAAAAGTGCCCGAACCTGCACCGAACCGAACCCCGGTCAGTCTAGGGACAATGTGAGCACGGGAATATGGGTAAAGGTGAATGAGAGCCTACCTGGTCTAGCAGGGGGGACTCGGGAGGGAAGAACCATTGACATTGACAGTACAGGATGCTGCCAATGACCTGGATGCACCTTCCTCTAGATGGCAGGACAATTGAAGACATCGAGGGTGAGGCGCTGCCTTAGAAGAACGGAAGGCGATAGATACTTGGGCTTCTCGATGCATTTTAAGTTCGAGGTAGTTGTAACGGAAGGAAACCGGGACTTTGGGCACCGTGGGCCCAGTGAGAGTCCTGGTTTCAGATTGCACAGGAATGGTGGATTATGTAATCGAATGTTCACAAATACACCTACCAAATCAATTCGAAGTGACTCAGCCCAGGATCCGCAGGAAATGTCTGAACAATATTACTCTCAGCCGTTCTCCGAATTTCCAACACTGGACCAGCACTAAGCTATGGTCGTACATTTGCCAGCAGGATGCCCCATGTACGACGACTACCCAACTGTCACAATGGAGGGGAAGCATTGATGCAGACGGTTGATGGTACTAAGGAACTAGCAAGTGAGGGCCATCCCATACGTGTGGCAATTCCAAGTCCTATGTTTGTCAGATAGATCAATCACCTTACCCGGTGCATCGTTTGTATGTGAATATATCCGGAGTTTTGCTGTTTGGATCAAGGTGCATATCAATGATGTCGATTCCACCTTCTCGTGTTGCACGTCTCCATTGAATCATACCATCATTGAACCATACAACACGGTTGGGATCAACATACCTGGCTGTAAAATGACTGTTTCCGAAATATACTGTTGGAATTATTGCAGTGGGAGGCTTGCAGTAGGTATAATACTGAATTGTTGGCTACTAGAGCTCCTAATGAGCTCCTTATATACTACGAAAAGTATCTAGAATATTCTACCAAAAGTACTAAATATATCTAAGTATCATGACAAATGAGTAAGCCAAAGCTTCGGGAATCTTCTAGCATGAGCTTGAAGTTGCAAATCCCAACACTCCCCCTCAACTTCAAGTTCCTAAAATGCATAATCTTCTTCATCATCTTCATCAGCTACATTTGCTCTTGTTAGATCTTCTCCCCCTTGAGCAATATTTGGGCACTTGTTTCTGTAGTGGCCTTTCTGCCCACAACCATAGCAAATGATATTAGCCGGATCGGGAGGTTGGCCCTTGATTGATCGTGCGGCTAACACCATTTCAAATTCTGGTGAATTGAGTTTCCGGTGGCGCTCTTCATTTAGCAATCGACGAGTGACATAATCGAAGTCTGGACCTCGCGTCGGATCGCTAGGATCAGTATTGGCCTCGATGTAAGATTCGATGGTGGTAACGATGTTCTCATAGGTAGGGGGTAAGGATGCCAATAGGATAGTCATCCTAAGTATATCTACCAATGTGATTCCAATATCCTTGAGGGACTGGTCAAGTTCATTGAAATTATTGATGTGCTCCTGCACAGATGCTCCCTCTTCCATTCTGAGAGAAACAAAACTACGAAGAACAGTCATACAATTGGCCCATCCTGAGGATTCATAATATTCCTTCAGAATTTGCCACATTCGGGCAGAGTCCGTGGTCTTCCAAGTTAGCGGTAACACGGAATCAGACACATGCAGAATGATCTCGGCAGCGGCAAGCCTCGCGCGCTTGTCCCAGACAGTCTGTGTCCTTGTTCCACTTGTGGGGTGGGGTTCTGTACCTGAAACTATTCCCCACAAATCCTTCCGAATTAAGTGCATTTCCATGCGGTACTTCCATGTGAAGTAATTCTCCTCACTAAGGAGATCAAATCGGGTGCTACTCCGGTCTTCCATAACTGGAGATATCGAAGTGGTATGTAACGAGAGTATGTAATGTGCCTGAAAAGGCAAGTATGCGGTGCCTAAAAAAGGACTTTGGGAATGGGGTGCTAACCTAGAAAGGGTTTACAGCGACTAATACAATGATTTCACCTACGTAGAAACGATTTACGGCAGCGTAGAAACGACTTTTAACAACTTCGTCTACCTAAAGAGGAATTACGATGGCCTAGAAAGGACTTCGTGCACCAACCTAGAGAGGAATTACAGTGGCCTAGAGAGGACTTTTAATTACACCTGCCTAAAGAGGACTGATGGTGATTGACGTGTGGCTAGAAAGCTGGCTCGGGTGGTCCGAAAGAGAATGCGTGTGGAAGATGAGACTTCTACTGGAGCTCGGGGCCCATAACCTGTTGGAATTATTGCAGTGGGAGGCTTGCAGTAGGTATAATACTGAATTGTTGGCTACTAGAGCTCCTAATGAGCTCCTTATATACCACAAAAAGTATCTAGAATATTCTACCAAAAGTACTAAATATATCTAAGTATCGTGACAAATGAGTAAGCCAAAGCTTCAGGAATCTTCTAGCATGAGCTTGAAGTTGCAAATCCCAACATATACAATACCCACTAGTTGATAACATGCATTTCCATCGACTATGGACATGGGATTGGGATATGTGCGGATGGAAGGTTGCACCAGTGAGGATCATGAGAGTCGAGGGAGAAGGGCAATGGAACGCATCAAGGCACAAAGGTCAATTGAGCCTTCACCCCCGGGGGTAAATACCATGATGACAAGTGAATGAGATGTCCAAAAGAATCGAAGGGAACTGCGTGACACATGCGGAGAATATGCTGATTGTTGTAGAATCAAAAGAAGCAAAAAAATATAATGAAAAGAACGTACATAACACAGCAAATTAATAATGACATACATGAAACGAACGAATTGAAGCACACGGATGAGTGCATGGGCAACCCAGCATGGTAATAGAGACAACAAAAACACAAAAAAGGATGTCACAACATATGCATAGAGTCAAGGGAAGCAGGTAATACCAAGGATCAGATAGCACTGTAGGAGATGAACATGAGGTACGACAGGAGATACGATGGACAAAAGAAACGAAAACCTGATGAGAGTCAAGCCGGAAGACAACCATCGGTGCCATCAGACACGAACATCATGACAGAGGTAGATGTCGGTAGAAAACGGGGCGATAAGTAATAGAAGGAAAAGAAATATAGTGGCAAATGGGTACCAAATCCACAACCAGTTTGTTGCGAAAGGATGGATTGATTCTATGACAGAGACAAAGCAAGTAAGTAACAATTGAAACAGATTGGAGAAAATGACTAATGTAGGTATGCACAGGAGACACGATCGAAGCACTCATAAATGAGAGGACAGCAAAAGACAAACTGCACCTGTCGTGGGTTATGAAGGTAAGAATCAATTTGTTAAGCACTAACTCGAACCTTCGCCAAGGCTGATCTCTATCCTGTCACTCACGTTCGGTGATTCAGTGTTAGAGAGGCGTTGGTAGATTGCGAGAAGTTAGGCGTCACTTTATAGCGAAAGCAAGGAGCTTGTAAGAGTTAGGAGTGTATAACCTTAGCCGAAGCTGGGGTCTAAGGCCACAGTGTAGGCTAGCTTAAATACATGTTAGACTTGTACTAAGAATAGTATCTACAAGGGCGCATGCAGCGAGAAGTGCGTCGTTCAACGAATGAGGAGGGAGAACACTAAAAGAAGTGTACTCCTGACGAATGAGAGTAAAGAGCGCATATCACCTGCACCTGCACGGGACTCCGTCTGAATAGGCTGCATCCCGTAGACCGCCCTCGACTGGCGGTCGACTCTCATCCAACTACTAAGAAGCATGATGCCATCAAGAGAAGTGTGATGACGCATGCGGGTCATAGTCATCTGAGAGGCGGCAGCATGAGCTGGGGTGACGGCAGCCGGGTGTCCGGGTAAGGAGTGTGCCGGCAGAATATCATGGGTCCGGGAGATAAGATAGGTAGGTCCGGGGTTCTGAGAGATAAGGATAAGATAAGATAAGGAAAATAGGGGTAAAACCGTAATACAATTACGGCAAGGTAGAATCGTACTGAAGAGACATACTAGGAACACAGTGTTATCAAATCGGCAAGCATCAAGAGAGATGAGGATGCAGGTGCATGAAGGATCATCTGAAAGACTGCAGGAGGGCATGATAGAAGAAGTGGTATTCACGATGACTGGTGCAATATACATGATGGATCTACCACCTGTCACAAAGGAAACAAGGTGAGCAGACAATACGGTCCAAATGAATGTAGTGTACTCACAAAAGTCATAGTCAGGATGCAAAAAGAGAAAGCGAGGTTCCTAAGCCAAACGGTACAACTCATAGGTCTCAGGAGCAAGGGGTATGACAAGGCCGTATCTGCTATAAAGAGTCTGCAAATGATGGGAGAGAGAGTTCAAGGAGGGCAAGATGGAAGAATGGAAGCCGATGAAGGTAAAGGATCTGGACATGATGGAGCTGTCGAACCGATACTTCAGACCTCGGAATAACTCGAATGAGGAGGACATACCCTTTTCACCTGACGTCGACCCGATGGGAATCCTAGCCAAGATAGCACAACAAAAATGGGTGCACACTGAGGACAATGAGGTGGGATACTTCAGGGGTCTGATAGACGAAGCAGGCAAGAAAAGGTAAGCAAGATCAACACATATGTGCTCAGAACGGAGCCAACCATACCTTGTGAATGCAGATATGTGACAGTGAAGCCCCAAATGCTCAGAATAGGTGATATCGTGGAAGCCCAGTGCTCTATGGTGTTCATGAAGACCAATGACGGTGTCGCAAAGACCAAATTGATATTGAGAGCCATAGCACTCGCAAACTCAGACCATTCATCAGTGAGCACTTCAATGTGTATGTCAAACGTCACTGAAAAAGTCACAGAAGGTGAATGTGGAAAGAAGGAACATGGCTAATACACCGTCACAGTCCATGGTGAAAATGAAGAGGAAGATAGGTTTTGAAGATGAGGAAGACGACATACAGACCATGGCAAAAAGGTTTAATAGGATGGAAATGGAGGAGGAGGAAGAGATCATGATGTCGACATGATACACAGATATATGTACGAACGAGAAATGTGAATTTCGAATTAAGAAAAGTGCACAATGAAGAGACCGGGAGTGAAACGAGATGAGCAAGAAGGACAAGGCCAGACATAAGATCAATCAAGACAGACACATCAATTAAAGAGGATACGGAATATAAATGATGGAAAACAAATGAGAACAGAAAGCAGGCTAGGGGAAATGCGACATGGC